TTTTCCGACTATTAATTTAATGGGACTTGAATGTCTTAATAATCTTAGTTAAGACTTAATGGAGTATAAGTTCATAAATTAGTACTTGTGTGTAACTGCTCCTAATTTAAATTAGGTTTGAGTTTGTATAAAACTCTACATGTAATTAAGAAAATACATACTGGCGTGGTTCTCTTAAAAAAAAAAAGTAAACCCTTATAATGTGCCACATAAGTATAGAAAAAATACTACTTTTCTCATGATATATATATATATATATATATATGATGTGTGGTACAATAGATTTCCTTTAGGATTGCTGTTGTTGGAAACAACATTAAAGCCAAAGCACTTTGTTTTTTTTTTTTGTTTTGCCAAAAGACTCCTTCCATTTACTTATGCAAAAAAACAAAAAAGAAGAGAGAAAAAAGAAAGAAAAAAAAAGGAGAAAATTAGTCTAAAGTTTCTCTCCCATTTTTTTTAGTAATGAGAGAGATCCATAATATTATTTTGTGATGTCTAAGGTCCTTCACACATTCCCATACGTCTCCCTCCATATTTGATCTTCCTGGAGAGAAGAATGCAGAGACTAATCTTCGAATTCGAGATTTCAAAGTTTGGTTTTCTTCTTCGCCGGATAATCTGACAAAGGCCTCTAGCTTCAGACCCACCACGATATGTACATACACAAACTCCTCCTCCATCAATTTTCAAGGGTTTTCAAAGATTTCAATCCCAAACCTTTTTTCGCCATGGGGAGGAATAAGTGCCTTTTCGCTCTATCTATCTATTTATCTAAGTGCCTTTTCACTCTATCTATCTATCTATATCTATATCTATATATATGTATATGTTTGTGGTTGCTTAGATTTGTATCTATCTGAATTTTTTACTCTATGGTTTTCTGTATATTCATAGATCCATTGAAGATTTGAATTTTCTAATCTAAAAATGTTTTATTCATTGTGCTTGTTGTTTTATTGAGTCTTCAATTGATATCCATAATTCAATTTTTCGTGCGGTGCTAAGAAATCTGAGAAATGTGTATTTTTTTTTTTCTTCTGACCCAAACACTACCCCTGTTGATTTCTAAAATTCTTATTAGATTGGATGAGCTTGATTGTGAACTCAGATCACAACTGGCTAGGCTTCAATGAACTTGATGTTGGCTAGCTAGAGTCATTGCGAACTAGAATTTCACTTCCACGAACTTGATTATGAGATGTGATTCAAGATTGTGAAGACACATCCAAGGCTAGGGTTTCTTGGATCAATGTACGATCACCAAGGACTGTTCATAAAAATATAACATTGCTGCAAATAGAGAGAATTTCTCTAGTTTCAATCCAGAGAATTTCTCTAGTCTCTCTGGTTTTGAGAGAATTTCTCTGGTTTGAATCCAGAAATTCTCTGGATTGAACGAACATCTTCTTTTTGACATCCAGAAGGTTCTACACGAGCATTTGCACCCTGAATATGCCTATGAAGAGGCCAATGTTTACATTTTGCGAAAGAAATTGTAGCTGTAGCACACAAATATCTAGTAAGTCTTGGAATTCGGAGTGGAGACAAATTGTTCTATTCATGGAAAATTTCTTGTTAGAACTAAATTTAAGTAGAGAAAACTTTATTTGAAATTTGTGATTGTTGACTGCTTCAATATTATTTTGTGGGTTTGTTAGTAAAGATTGCATTGTTGGCTTACATATTACACAAAGTTAGAGAAATTCTTTGTGAATAGAGTCAGAGAAATTTGTGAACTCAAAGAAATTTTCTCTGACTCTATTCACAAATTTTCTCTAAATAGAACCAGACAAATTTTCTCTACACAATTTTCTCTAATACAATTTTCTCTGAATAAAGCCACAAATTTTCTTTAATACAATTTTCTCTAGATAGAGCTACACAAAGCCACACAAATTTTCTCTACACAATTTTCTCTAATACAATTTTCTCTGAATAAAGCCACAAATTTTCTTTAATACAATTTTCTCTAGATAGAGCTACACAAAGCCACACAAATTTTCTCTACACAATTTTCTCTGAATAAAGCCACACAAAGCCACACAAATTTTCTCTACACAATTTTCTCTAAATTTCTTTGGTACTCAGAGAAATTTCAATTTTCTCTAGTTTGAACCTAGAGAAATTCTTTGGGAAGTTCAGAATTTCTATGGAGAGAATTTCTCTAGGATTGAAATTTCTCTAGATTGATGTTGAGGGACCTTAGATATTATAAAAATATTTGATGTCCTTTATGTTATAAAATCTTAATACTAGGAACCTTAAAAAAAGATCCCCTATTCTTGTTTCTCAACAATTATTTTTTTTTAAAACTTATTTTGACTATTTTTGTATCATAAATTATAAATAGAAGTTACAACAAACAACTATAAATCATATATATATTATTAAAAGTAGTGTTTTTCTTATATTTAGGTGCCACACTATAAAAGTTTATTTTTTTAAAAAAAAAAGCCACGTCAGCATGTATTTCTTAATTACATATAGAGTTCTATACAAATTCAAACTTAATTTAAATTATACTAACTTTACCTATTTTATATATACTCTATTTGACAAATATTTATTTTCCATATAAATTAATTTTTTTAAATGCTAAATGGTCTCCTTTTTTTATTCTTATTTTTCCATGCATTATTTTATACCCAATGTCAATTTTATATTATAGATTTGTCTTTTAAATTTTATAGTGATTCTATGTATAAAATTATAATTCGTTTTCTACATTATTTTATATAATCACAACTCACAGGAGGAAAAACTTGCACAACAGTGATACTCTCGAAGAACTTCTAAAATTTCGATTTACTGTTTTAGTTACTTTTTCAGTTATTAAGCAGTAAGTTTTTTAATATTTTGACATCATATTACAGATGATTAATCACTTTACATATTAAGATGTATCTATCGTTTGGATGTTTTCGTTATTTTTTCTTTTTGGGTTTAGATGCTGTTATGTAATTCTTTTTTAGTTAATCGCTCTTAAATTTCTTTTATATAATTGATATTTTAGTTTAATTACAAGTATTTATGTTTAATTACAAGTATTTATATTACAATCCTATAATTTAATATATATATATATATACATCATATAAAATCATTATATGATAATCCAACTATAACATATTTATATTTAATTTTTTTAATAAATTTCTATTTCTACATATTTTTATTTTCTAAATAAATATAAAAGAAAATTAAATAGTTAGAATTATTTTTAATTTTATGTTACTAATTTTTCTTCTAATTTAAATATTATTTTTAATATCAAAATGAGTATTTATTTTTCTATTTTATAATTTAATATATATCATACAAAATTATTATATGATAATTAAACTTTTATAATATGATAGAACTAAAATTATCAAAATACACAAATAGTTTAATTAACATTAATATATATATATACAACTATTCAAGTAATAATTTTATAAGGCGATAGCACCAATATTATTAAAATAAATAATTAAAATCATACTTTAATTTTGATTTTAAATTAAAATTAATTTTTTTTTATAACACACATTGTACTATCAAATATATATATATATATATTTTTAAAAAGAGCATGTGCGATGGAAGTCAAATCCCAACTTTCATGTTGGATTATACCTGAATTCAATGGCATTATATAGCGGGAATGAGCCGTTACTCTACAAAGTGTTCCCCTCATCCTCTAATTCTTAGTTATCGTAAAATATACTTTTATATTGTATTTGGTTTGGAAATTTGAATAAGGATTTAAAAAAAGAAATGAAAAAAGTAGGTAAATATGAATAAAACATACCTATATTTCATCTAGTTTTACACACATTTTCCCTTTCTCTTTTCAAATCCCTCCCCAAATCTCCCAACCAAACACAGAGTAAGGGTTCGTTTGAGATACGGGTTGACTTTTTAACTATTTTAACCTGAGACAAAAAAATCTCGTTTGGGATAAACTCGTTGGTTTTTTTGACTTTTGTAGAAAAAAATAATAATAATTATGGTTTGAATGTGACATTTTATCTTGTTAATTTTTTAACATATTTTGTCCTTTTGTGACTATTTTAACCCAAACAGAGAATGTCAAACGAAGACTAATTGATGCTTATACTATTATTCTTTTTACATAGGCAACCATTTACAAAAAGAATCAAAAGGATTATTTACAAGCAAATAGTAGAGCAACTGAAGAGGTGGAAAACCCTGTGGGATAAATCCGATTTATAAATTTTTTTAAATTGAAAATTCCCCCTTAATGTTGCTTGATATATCATCTTTATAAAAATAAATTATCAAATTATCATTTGATCGTATGCTTTGTACATCAATATATTCGCTCTTCTGAAACTCATATAAAATAATTTTTGTGAAATATACTTTTGTTCAGCCACTTTTTAAATATAGTCTCTCTTGATCTATATAATACATACAACATTAATTGATGACAATCCATATTCCATTCAAATATGTTGGATCATAGATCCCTACCAAGTACATTCCCAGCTTGCCTCAAGAATTGCAAGTATCTTGGAATAATTTGAAGTGGCAACTTATAGTTTGTTTCATAGATCAACATGATATAACAATGTCACCACAAGTAACTAATAATTTTTTTTTTTAGGTCTCCCACTGTATCCCCAGGTTTTTTTGGACCCAGGATTAATCCACCGAGAAAGCTGCCTGCATCCACAAAGGTTTGAACTCTAGACCTTTGCTTAAAGGACCCAAGTCCCTTTCCACTTGGACCAATCCCCATTGGTCAAGTAACTAATAATCAAATAACATTTTATTTGATAACTCACTAAATCTATCATATGGCATGCATAGATCTTTATTCAATTCCTACGTAGACAAAATTCTAAAAACCATAGGTTTCAAAATTGGAAACCGCAACATAGTTTTGAATTCCAAGAGCCTATAATGACTTCGAAAGTAAAGGACTAGTTCGTCATCACCAAAGAACTCGACTCAGGCATCCACTCTACTGATTTCAAACCCAATAGGTGTAACGAGCACAAGAATCCAAATTTCAAACCACCCACTAGGAACCAAAGGGCTGTCACATGAAAACATGTTTACAAAAAATAACAGTCCTCATAAAAAGGACAAAATGGCTCTTTAGGACATATGTTAGGGTTCCGCCATTGAGCAACAAATTCAGCTTACCAAATTACACATAGTAACAAAACATCCCATCAGATATACAAGAAATTTATTCAATCATCCAAACTTTAAACATATTAACCTCACACAACTGTTATCTTAGAAAATGTAGTCTGGCACCTGGAGAGGAAAACGCGCCACTTCAACCTCAAACGGCCTGCTTTTGGGATCAGCCAATCTACATTACCAACAAAGAAAATTTTCTTCTTGTCAGTTAAAAACAGGAACCACGTGGACTCTTTACTTTGAAAATAAAATAAAACATAATTTTCACTCAAAATTTCTGAAAGGAAAACCAAAGAAAGAATCAAATTTCAAGCAGTGAAATGTTAACTATAAATACTGTTGGCACCTAAGATTAGCTTCACAACCCTCCTGTAGAGGGCATGCCAACCACTTGTACCATTCTGACTCTGAGTCTAGTGTTAGATTAAATTAACTGATTTGATCATACAAGCACTAGTGATGCTACACAGTAACCAAAATTGGGTATCAAATTTTTCAATACCATTTAAAATGTCCCCAATGCATTTGTGTGAGACATGAAAGATGCGATCCATTAAATTAATGCATTAGTGATCCATCAGAGGGCATTCAAAATTTGGTTGCACTAAATATATGGTTAGATTCGGAAAGTTGCCTATACAATGTTCAATTGATGGTGTACCCTGATATAAAATCAATTTTAACAATACTAATATTTCAACACCCTGTGATTGATCAAACAAAAGCGGGTACTTGTTTTTTTCATATGGAATGCATGCACCACTACTTTTTTTTCTTTTTTTTTTGCCTTGTTCTCAAGATAGTTGGAAAAGCACACAAATGCAAGATGAACTGAAGGTGTCATCATCAAAATAGGTGTAAACCACACAAGTCGTGATCACTTAGTGATACATGATGAATGATGAACAAAATCCTGAATGCGATCCACACTCCGTCGCTATACACTGCTAAAGCAAAGAACAAAGGAAATGCCAGATTATCTACGTAAACTCATCCAGATAAGAAATAGGAGAGCAGATATCATCATTGAGTGCTTCAGAGTTCACTGGTTTTAAAAAACAGATATTTATACAAATAGTGAATTGTGTACATACCTTCCAGAGACAAACGTGAAAGAACCCTCGATGGAGCCTGAAGAAGATGACAAATGTGAGCAACTTTCGTAGACAAATTCTTTCTCGCCCGGAAGTAAGAGTGGATACTGCAAAGAAGCCAAAAGGGCAAGCATTATTACCAAAATGAACAAAAAGAGGACCAAGCCATCCATCCAATAAGTGGTAATATTAATGAAAGAAATTAGAAAGCCCTTCTAACGTCTTTGAAAAAAGGAAGCTTCTGATTTTCAGCACTTTGAGAAACCAATCTAGAGTGGTCAAAGAGGTAATTTTCTTCACTATAGTCACCAGATTTCCCTACTACGAGGTTATCAAGGATAGGAGGTCATCAAGGATAGCTTCCTTCCACAATTTCCAATGGGTGTATGGCTACTGCTCTGTGGTGTAGAGTATACTGCCCCATTTTGTGCTCTATTGTGGAGTACTTTCAAAATTTCCAGGATGTACAAGTAGCCCTGTTAGGAGTACTGCCCCATTTTTGTCGTGTTTTATTCTTGTGTCTACTCAAATGTTAAACAGCATGCAGGCTCTATTCTACTACAATACAAACACGTCTGGTCCAACAACAGGGCATACCACCAAAGAGAAGCAAAGAAGAACCATGTCCCAGATATGCACAAAGTCGAGATTTATATAAATGTGGTTCACAATCCCCCAAATGATTCTTTATAGCTGTCAATTAATTTGATCACTCTAGTTTCAAACGCAACAAATTTACCTATTAATTTGTCTCTATCAAATTAATCCAACTATCAACACAGACAAAACAAACCCATTGACACATTTAATCAAACACTTGATGTGCATGAAAATGGATGCCAAAAAAATATGAATTTGCTCAATACCTTTACAAGAACATGAACATCATCATCATCGAAGACTTATCTTTCAAACGTTTCACGTCCGATCATTTAACAGGTTTACTATAAAATCCTCTGCCCCTTCCTTCAAACACCTGTCATTTACAAATGAATATCAATATCAAAATTTTAAAATTATAATACATAATAGTTTGAAATTTTAAATATAAATTTACAAAAAAACAATGAGCTAAACATTATCAAACATAACTGGGTTCCTCTGCATCGCTCAATAGGTCCTGTTCTTGCTCGTACTCGGATGAAACCGCGGTGTTTTGTACAAACTTGAAAGGCGAGGAGGCTTCGAAGGCTCTAGAAGGAGAGAGAAGAAATGAGGAACTTCATATTCGTCGCATGCTGCTCGATGCCGTCGTCTGCCGCCGCTCGCCGGAGAGAGAGAGAGAGCCGTAAGAAGAGATTAGGGATTTTTGGTTGAAGG